GAGAGGGAGACACAGAATCCGAAGCAGGCTGCAGGCTATGAGCTGTCAGTAGAGTCCAGTGGGGGCTTGAACTCACGGACTGTGAGATCATGACCTGAGCTTAACCAACTGAGCCACCCAGGCACTCCCAGACTTTCCCGTTCAGGGGTTCTGGTACATTTGCTTGAAAAGCCAACCTACAGCAGCCACCTAGCATCTCTTGTGGCCATCTTCCTCAAGCCAGTCCTAGATAGGCAGATTCCAGAGCCGCAGGTGACAATCCGATGGGCTCTGGATTGGTCACCTAACTCCACACAATGACCCGTAGTTCTGGCACCACATCACAGATCAAACTTGGCAGACAGCTCTCAGGTGAGGGTAGAGGTCAAGCAGATAAATCAACAGCTCTGTATTTTACAGGCATCACAATCTGATTCAATGGAAATCAAGACAGCTTTCTTGTTTTACTGGCCTACCAGCATTCCCGGGAAAAGATGGATTCCTATGAACATCCGCGGGGTTCCTAGATGGCAGTGTCTTTGGTATCACATACCTCAAGTAGTTATAGTATAACCCTTTTAATTAGAATCTGGAAGAACTGTGGCAGTCTATGTACTTCCAAGTTTTTGAAAAACTTTTCTCTTAGTATAAATTTTTTCTAAACATTATAATTCTGTTTTCTATTGGGTTGTCTTTCATTATTGATGGACCGATGACTTGGGGTCTTTATTCTGAGATGAAAGACTTCTAGGCAAGACACTGATGCACAGGGAATTAGCCTGGATGTATTTGGATTACAGGAGAGTTGCTACAACTGTTTCTGATGGAAACCCTAGAGCCATTTCTGACATATTTCTTCCTAAAAGCTAGGTAAACAGAAAGACCCCATAAAAAAAGATGAGAGACTTTTTTTAAAACATTTATTTGTTTTTGAGAGACAGAGTGTAAGTGGGTGAGTGGCAGACAGAGACACATAGAATCCAAAGCAGGCTCTGGCTCTAAGCCATCAGCACAGAGCCCAGTGTGGGGCTTGAACCCATGAACTGTGAGATCATGACCTGTGCCAAAGTTGGACGCTTAACCAAGTGGGCCACCCAAGCGCCCCTAGTGTTTCTAGTTTTTGAAAGAGGGATACAGAAATATAAGCCAGGGGCTCTTTCTACAGTTCACAACCTGGGTAAGAAAATAAGAAACACCACTCAACAGAAGCATAATGACAGGAGATAAATGTCCATGGATATGTTTTTCACAACACGGGTTCTTATACAAAAGTGTAGCTGAACATGGACTTTGTGGTGTTTCCATTGTATCTGAAAGGACTCTTAGAAAATACGAAATCTTGTTACTGGGTAACACTAGTGGTCCGGTTTGCCAAAGGTCCTTTCCAGTGGCACCAAGTTAACTAGTAGGGAGAGCAGAGATACCTGCCAGATAACCTTTAATCTATAAACTTACCCAAAGTTTGAAAATGCCATGGGGAATCTTAGGAATCCCACCAATCAGCCAATAGGATCATCTAGACATGCGTTCCACCTGCAGGTGCTACAGGCCATTGCTCAGACTGCCTCTCAGAGGGAGGCACAGGACAAGTTAACACTCTCCTTACGTCTGGCTTCCTGTCTTTGCCCATCCCTCTTGTGTTTTTAATCACCTGTGTCACAGGACACGTGTAAGTAGTTGGCATGTGTTAAACTCTGAGTAGAGCAAAATCAGAGTTAAAAGCAAATGTTGAACCACTTACATTCAAACACAAGCTAGTGAATGAAGAACTTTCGGTTCAAGGGCCAAATATTCTGCATTCCTGAGAAATCTGTTTCTCATTCTGTTAAGTATTTTCACATTGCACTTTGCTTCCACAAACTAAGTGGGTGTACATTTTTGAGTGTAGCTTTATCACTTCAAAATCTGAATTAGGAGAATGAAAGAAAATATGTAGTTTTTAATTTTTTTAATTTTTATTTATTTTAGAGAGAGAGTGCATGTGCATGTGTGCACCTGGGGAAGAGGCAGAGAGAGGGGGAGAGAATCCCAAGCAGACTCCACACCGTTAGCATGGAGTCCGATACAAAGCTCTATCTCAAAAACGGTGAGATCATGACCTAAGCTGAAATCAAGAGTTGGATGTTTAACCGCTGAGCTACCTTAGTGCCCCTATGTATTCTAAAAAAAATCCATCCATGAAAAGGGAGCCAGGTGTTAGTTTCCTACAGGGGGAACGTTCTCATGGAGGTACTGTAAGGCCAAGTCGGTCCACTTCATTTCTTGCTCTTTAACAGATTCTGTGGTGCCACCGTTGTCCTGTTCAGGTTCAGGAAGCTCATTCTGAAACGGTACAATGGACATTCAGAACGCTGGTATATTCTGCATTAATAAGCCCCTTAAAACTCAAGAGTACTTAGAATTAAAACCTGTGAGTTCTTAGAAACAGGCAGCATAATTGACAGAAATGTATCGTAAAGAAAGAACTAGGATAAAAAAACGTGAGGAAGTATCACATGTATCGCTCACATGTGCCCTGATGTCTGTAGCAGGGAACGGCAGCACCACGACTCTGGCGCTTGTGCAAGAGGCAGTGGTGGCAGAAGGATGAGAGCACAGGCTTTTGGAAGCCACTGGGATCCAAGCCCACAATTCCACCCTTTGCTGGGTTACCTGGGCAAGGTATTCAAACTCCTGGAGCCTTTGTTTTCTCTTTGGCAATGGAGGAAAAAGGAGCCATCACCTCATAGGATAGCTATGAAAACCAAATGGGATCAAGTAAATGAGATCAAGTGCTCACCACTGTGGGGGCCATCCAATGCTCAAGAAATAGCTGCTGTTATTACTAGTGGCTAGGATCACTGAAAAGACCCCCTACTGACTCTTTTCTGGGGAGGCTGCTTTAATAGAATACCACATTTGCTGGAATATTCCTTAAGCACAAGAAATGTATTAAAGATAAAACAAAACAAACTATCCTGTCCCCAACATGCTCATATTATTATTAAGTGGCAAGCACTGAAAATGTAACATGATAGGTGAGACTTCCCTCTAGTGATGGAGCATAGCAACATAAATCCTGCAAATGACCAGTTCATATCCGGCCAGCAATTTTCTTAGAATGGTAAATCATGGGCCACCCTTAGTATAGAATCTGACATATAGATTTTTCAGCATGAGATTTAATTTACATGTAACACTGTATAAGTTTGAGGTATATGACATGATGATTTGATACATGTATGTATTATGAAATGATTATTGCAATAAGGTTAGTTAACACATCCATCACCTCACATTGTTATTTAACCATATTTTTGTATGTGTTGAGAACTTTTGATAGTTTCCTTGTAGTTTAAATTTAAATTTAAATTTATTACTACCAGGATTTTGCTTTGTACCAGAGTTCACTGACACCAATATATGTCTTTTTAATTACCTGAATTTACACCTTTTGAGGGGGGGCAGCAAAGTGTTACCCGATACTGAGACTTAGGATTTCCCACTGAATTCCATTTTGCAGTATATGAATATAGTAATGTTTTTATCCTTTAAAATTATTCAAAATAGTGGGGCCCCTGGGTGGCTCAGTCGATTGAGCACCCAACCAGCTCAGGTCATGGTCTCACCATCCATGAGTTTGAGCCCTGCGTTGGGCTCTGTGCTGACAGCTCAGAGCCTGGAACCTGCTTCAGATTCTGTGTCTCCCCCTCTCTTTGCCCCTCCCCTGCTCATGCTCTGTGTCTCTCTCTGTCTCAAAAATAAATAAAAACATTTTTAAAAATTTGTAAAAATAAAATAAAATAATTCAATATATATAACATGATTTACTTACAGTTTGTACGAGTATTATCTGAACCACATACATCTTGTTTTACAACATACAATATAATACTGAGATTCAAACACATCTGTACAAACTGCAAAGAATTATCATTTACTGTAACACAATGATACATTCAAACTTAAAGAGAAAGTTTGTTTTCAATAATTATTTATAGCTGACAAAGCATAAACAAGTCCTTTGCTAATGAATTATGTGATTGGCAGACAAGCAACTTTACTTTATTTCACCTTATCCGTGGTATATGTTCTGAAAAAGTGTCTTTCATTTGGTCACTACTGTCTCTTGCAATGAATGCCAAGGTTAAAAAAAAAAAAGCGTATGTGCTTGGAAAACAAATGCACAGTATCCTGAGGTATCATAAACCCAACCATCAATTATATGGTATACTGCAAAATGGCCTCGATGCTTGGCAGCTACTCCTATGAAAAGGCAGAGTCCTCTTCCCCCGGTTTCAGATTGGGACTGGCCAAGTGCCTTACTTTGGCTAACACAGAGCAGCTGCAGTGTCAGTGGGCTCGCTATCAGCCTGAGCTCCAGGCAGTCTCACTGTTGGTCTCCTGCTGCTCTTGGAACCCCGAGACAGCCATGTGCAGTCTAGGCTAGTCTGCTGGATAATGAGACTTGGGCCTAAGCACCTTGCCATCCCAGCTGACGACCTGCTACCTACCAGATTATGTGACAAGTCTCCCGATAACCCAGCCTCCAGCTGGCCTGCTGGCTGACTGCAGAGCACAAGCAGATCCAGCAGGGATCAAGCTGGCAAGGACTGGAAGACCCTCTGAGCCCAGCCACAAAATTATGAGATAAACGGCTATTGTTTCAAGCCACTCTGTTTGGGGGAGATTTGTTAGGCAGCAACAAAAGCTAACCAGTACACACATTGCCTCAGAATCACAAGACACAGGAAAAGACACAGATTCGCAAACAGGCTAGGCTACAGCCTGGATGTTAGCATGGAAATTTCTCTCCCTCAACCCCTTCCACAGCAGTGGTCCCCAAATCCTGCCATGAGCCTGTCCAGAATTAACCAGCTCCCCTCCAGTGTCGTGCCTTTGTTCAGGCCCTGCTGATACACTACTTTGTTCAGGCCTGCTGATACACTACTGCAATCACTTCCTTACTGGTCCCTCTGCCCAGTCATTTGCCCTCTTCTCCATGTCACACATCCTCTAACAACACTGCTGAACTGATTTTCCAAAACTCAAATTTGAGCATGGCAGATTTCTATTTTGAAGACCACTCAACCTCAGAATGAGGTTGAAGCATTGCATCAAATACTCCTCTCAAAATCTGGTCCAAGCCCATCTTTTCTGCCTACCTTAGATGACAAATATTTTCTCCATCCACAGTGAATGTCTTACCGTCTCAAGCCTTCAAAACTCTGAGCCTGTGAACTTCTGTCCCCTCTGTTGGAGTGCCCTTGTCTATCCCCACTAAATTTCTGGCCCTCCCTTATGACCAGCCTAAATATTATATTCTCTCTAAAGCCCTTCCTGATGCCGAATGGGCAATCAGCCACTTCCTATCCTATGCAGCTGTTTACAACCCATTTATAACACTTATTGTAATTATTTATGTATGTTGCCTCTCTAGCACCCCAGGGGCAAGAACTATATCTGACGTTCACATAGTCTTATGGCATACAGTAGGCTTCAAAAAAATGCTTGTCGAATGAAAAAACAAAAGTTTATAAGACAGGATCTGCAGCCTTCACACAGACCTAGGTAGGAAGTCCCAACTTACCAGCTGTCGGGCTTTGGACAAGTTCCCCTCTCTGATCCTATTTCCTTACTATAAAATAGGGATAACACTACTACTCTTGCAAGGGTGTTTCAAGGGTTAGAGATAACATACATGAAATCTCAACCTCGGTCCAAGGCATAAAACTGGTATTGAGTAAGTGACAGCTATAATTCTCATTATGCACTCTCTTTTGACTATTTTTCTAAACTTGAACTAAGCTGTGACTTATTATTTGTGTATTATTCATTGAACATATTATCATCTCTTAACCTTAAATGAAAATGTAGGTGAGCTTAAGTTTATTTGTTGGTCAACAGCATTAGCAGTCTACTTGTAAGCTGTATTTCATTAACAGCTCCTCTCAAGGCACTTGGCGTGCTCTACAGAAAAAGTTCCCAGAGCCTGTTCTCTTTGTTTTTTGTTAGGCCTCTATGACATACATAGGATTTTAAATAAACATTTATAAATGCAAAACTTTTATGTTTTATTTTTTAAAAATGTTTATTTGAGAGCAAGAGAGTGCTTGTGAGTGGGGGAGGGGCAGAGTGCAAGGGAGAGAGAGAATCCCAACATGGGACTTGATTCTATGAACTGTGAGATCATGACCTGAACCAAAATCAAGAGTCGGACGCTTAATCAACTGAGCCATGCAGGTGCCCTTACAAACGCTAAAACTTTTAGATCATTTATTATTACATGAGGTTCAACAAACTCCTTGCAGGACAGTTCTCCAGAGATCAGGAAAGAAAAGAGTATCGCAGGGCCCTTTTGGTCTAAATGCAAGAAAGCCAGGTGTCTTTCAAACATTTTCCAGGAAACCTAGGATAGGTGTGTATTTCAAGAGTGTGTCTCTAAAGATGTCAATCGATCAACCACAGGTAGACAAGTAGGAAATACAGAGTAAATGCCACTGCTTCGTGTTCCACTCCATCTTGTGCATTAAGGTCTCATTATCTGGTTTACTAGCTTTGGTGCAGTGGACAGAATGTGGCTCAGAAGGCTTGGGTTCCAGTCCTGGTGTGACCCCTAACTGAACTCCTCATATCAGCTCTCTGAACCACATTTCTCTACAAATAAAAAGGTCAAGCTATCCAGGGTCTTCTAGAGTTAGAGGAGTCCACAGCTTTCATTTCTTTGCCCTACTGTTTTATTTGTCCATTGATACCCTACATCTACTAGCACACTCCAGATCATACGTCTAAGCCACCATCGCTGGCACAAATTATAGCCTACCAGTGGTATTGCAACATCCTCATACGGCAGCTTGTCTTCTCGCCAGGCATCGTCAATCAAATCCAAGATCCTTCCATCTCTCTGTACCTCACTGTCCATTCTCCTGCAGCTTTGATCTTGTCAGATCTATAAGCCAAAGAGGTGACTTCTTAAACATGAAGGCTGAAGGGATGATATAATCTAGCACTAGGACTCCCCAGGCTTTTTAGCCTGGATGTGTCTTTTGGTGTAACATCACCCTGGGAAATGGGAAAGACTCATCTCCTCATTTGGGTCAGGTGACAACTTATTTATAAGATCACAGTCTCTCCGTTCTGCCTCCCGCTCCCAGCCCTCCCCGCTGCTGAAGGATGCTTTATAGCATATATAGGACAGAACTCAGATATAGCTCAGTTGACAGACCAGTGTGACAGTGTGACCTTGTGTGCAAGGCCACGGTATATCTAGAATGTAGCTTTTCTCTCCTAATATGCATGTTCACCTTTCCCTGTTCGGGATGCCTTTGATGAATCCCTGATTCATAACCAAATCTCCTCTCTGTCCCCTTTAGCCTTTTCCTGAAATATTTCTACAAGTCTCCACCTGCCTTGGCTCTAATATTAGCATCCTTAGGCACAGGAGCTAAATGAACACACTGAGATACTGAACTGGGCCACACAAAGTAACCAACTACAGATCTGACAGAAATCCTCAGCTGAGTTTGTAAAGGAAAACTGCCTCCCTTCTTAAAACAGTGCCCAACCAGAGTTCTGAAAGGAGCACCACCAGGTGAACAAGAGTAGCAGGACCCCATGCTGCCCATTTCTGCTTTCCTTTGGGGTTCCTTCCTGATTTTTTTTTTTTATTGTTTTCACTGTCCCTGATACCATGGTGGCAAATAATTATCCTCAAATTTTAATATATATTAAATTTAAAGGCAAGTACCATTCATATCATGCTTTGTTTCATGTACAAAATATCTCCATGTCTCTTAAATAGTCATCTGCATATTTGTGCTTTGGTAATTTAGACATTTTATATTAATTGTGAAAAGAAACTTTAGTTTTTTTTTTTATTTATTTTTTTTATTTATATATGAATCCTTCCTGATTTTTTAATGCTGTACTCCCTTCAATGCCTGGACCAAGTGGTCAAGATGTTACTTAGCTCCTTGGCCATAGCTGATTCTCCATTTTTCTCCTAAACAGCTGCAGCCAGCATGGAGAAAACCTCTGGTTTCCCTGTTTCCAAGTTTGGGCTCTGCTTCTTCATTATGGGTTATCACCCTACTGTGCTTCCTGCCACAAAGTAGCCATCCTGATGGCCTGGAAGCCAATGGCACCAAAGGCACTTCCAGTCACTCCTAGTTTCTGAGGCTATGAACATTCACACAAGGAACAATCTTTCGGGGTGGACTCCAACTCCTTCAGACAGGTCTGTGCTTGTCCCCAACAGCATGATTGCAAGATAGCCCTAATGCCTAGGTAGTAATTACACAAGTTGGGTGGGATAAGAGTTTTTGACCTCATGGTAAAGATCCAGGCAAAACTGAAGCAGAAGGTATCCAGCTAGTTCTGTCTTCAGTGAAACAGATGAAGCCTTGATGTTTCACTCAAGAATTAATTCAGTACTACCCAGTAGATAACTCAAAGCAAGTATAAGGATATTGACTTTAGGAAATTTACATACAGTTCCAGTTATATTTTTGGAATCCCTGTCCTGTAAGAGCCCCTTTTCCTGCTGCCATTCCTTTGCCCTTGCTGCTGTCCCCTGGGATACCCTCATTTCTCTAGTTGATCAGAACTAGTTAATTTTCCCAGTCACACATAGATTGTGTGACTTTCTGTGAAGTGTTTTTCAAATCACTCTACCTTTAGCAGGCATTCTGCCCTTGAACGTTTCCTTGTTGTCCTTAGGATCCACCTAACAGGTTAGGTAGTCTTTCCAACAGTTTGCCAGGTATCCTTGTCTCCAATTAATATGTGTAAATTTTGCAGCAAGACTCAGCACAGCACATCTTTCCCAAATTTCGCCTCAATCTTTTTTTAGCCGTCCCTCTTGGAAACACCACTAACCCTGCCACACTTTCCAGACTTTGCACGTAAAAGCCTTTTTTCCCCCATCACTAACGCCTAATTTTCCTTCCAAACTCAACACTGGGATCAGCTCATCTGGTCAACATCCCATTTCCAGAGTCAGACGCTGATGTGCCTTCACTCTTCAGGGGCTGGAAGAGTGGAAAGCATCGTAGATACGCAATGTCCCACACAAGGCCCGCTGTCCCAAGCATTTGCCACACTCGACAGAATGAACCACTACTACCTTCCTGAGCAAACTTTTCTTACACAGTTAACAGTCCCAATGCCTGGAACGCTCTTTACGATCCCTTTGTTTCCAGCTAACCCCTAGTCAGTCTAAAAAACTTGCCTCCCAGGTCGTGTCCCGCAGGAGCTTGTCACACTGCTCATTACATGGTTTTCCCAGACCCTCGGTGCGTCCGATCCCCGGAGCAGGGGCACGTTTTATCTCATCATTGCACTTCATCGCTCTGGGAACAAGTAATTAACAAGATCTAAGTGGGACGGCCTTTTCGCCCTTACTAGAAATGACCCTCGCAGGCCACCACCATCCGTAAGAAGCGTGGGGCGGCTCAACAGTCCCGGCTTCCGGCTCCAAGATGGATACACCAAATGTGGAAGCGGGGGAGGCCCAGAACCGCCACGGAAGTGCCTTTCCACCCGCCCACGGCGTGCACCGGGGAAAGTGATTGTGAGCATGAAGTGAAGCCATCGGCCTCCACCCACGGGAATGGGGAAAGGGCGACGCTGAGGAAGCAACGCGTCGGCGTCCCTGCAGACTAGGGGCGCAAGAAAGTCTTACCCGCGCGGGACCCAGCGCCGCACCCGCTTCTACCAGACCCCACCCTCAGCATCACGTGACCCAAGCCCTTTTCGCTCCGACTCCCGGATGTGGGTGAGCCCATTTGTTTGAGCGGAGGGGAGGTCTGGGAGGACGCAGCTTCGATTCAAAAGCGAGCGGGCAGTGGGCGGGACGAACGTGCAGACAGCGGAGGCTGGACGTCGGGTCGGCGGAGACGCGCGTGCGCGCCCCCGGCCGGAGGTAACGGCGGGAAGGCTCGGGGGCGCGCTCGCGGCGGCCCGGTAACTGCTTGTGGGCCTGTACGACGGGCGAGGGGCGGGCGTGCCCTAGCTCGGAGGCAGCCCTGGCGGCGGTGGCGCCGCGGGCTGCGCGGCCATATGGCCCGGGGCTGGCCTCCGCAGCAGCCCGCAGGCCACCAGCCCCGCCTTCGCCGGCCGG